ATTGAGATTCAATAATGAGATCATTGAATAGTGTAAATACCACAAACTACGTGTACAAAACAAAATTAATTCGTTTATGGCTTCGTATCACATTTTTAACAACAGTTTGAGTTTATAAACATTTGAAAAGTTTCAAAAAAAAAAATCTTAGGAAAAAACATATTTTACTCTAAAACGAACTTTAAACACCTAATATTAATCAACATATTGATTTTTGACGAATTCTATATGGTCAAAATGTAATAATAACCAAAACAAGATTAATGAATTAAAGAAACACTTTCTTGATTTCCTTACATCAAACAGAGCATTTATTGTTTTGTCGTTCATGTTGCTTTTGTTTTAGACAAAGTGAATGTATTATATGTCGCATTTGGTTGTTTTTTGCAATTTAACTGTTATTACTTTATACTCGTTTAAGAAAAGCGAGATTATTTAATTTAATTTGTTTTTTTAAATATTTAATTGAACATATTTTTTTTATAATATATAATATAAAAATACAAATTATTTTTTATAAATATAAATAAATTAATAAATAAATATGGTTAATATTTAAAATAATAATATAAATTATTATCGATTTTTCATCAAACAAGAAAAATAATAGTTTAAATTTTAATGTTTTAAATTATACATTATTGGTAAAAAAACAATATTTGTTTTTAATATTTTTATTAATAAAATTAACAATTGTTTATTTTTTTGATTTTTGAACTCAATAAACAAACAATAGGGTTAATTATCTTCCCGAAATTATTTAGAAAAAAAATAAGTTTTTTTGAATAATTAATTATTGTTTTTATTGAGTAAAAGTTTTTTTATGAAATAAAGAGTGAGGAGAAAGTCACACCAGGGAAAAAAGCCACACCATAATTCTTTTCGATTCTTTTTACTAAAAAGAATTTTCTTTTTTATTTATAAAATAAATTCAATAAAAAGAGCGTTTTTGTTTGATTTTGTTATCGTTTTGATTTAAGTTTTATTATTTTTGATAAGTCTTTACTACCTTTATGAAGTACTAAAATATCACATTTTTTACTAACTAACAATTACAAATTTATATCAATTCAAAATAACTATTGAACATCGTGTATATTGTATTCTAATTTTAAAAAAATTGTTATAGTTATAATACAACCCATAACAATTCTTATCATTGGATTTGTCTTTTAAGTTATCAAATTTATATTATTTTGTATACTATTATGATTACTACAATTATTATTAAGTTATTACAATCCAAATGATATTTTTTTTA